GCATTCAATTTCAAATGTGGAAGAAGACAAGTGGAAATTAAATCAAGAAAAAATGGAGGTGTGGTTGCTACAATTAAACTGTTCTGGGATTTAGCACTTCTGAGATGAATCATTGGAAGCTCTTAACTACACGCACAATCTATGACTGTGTCAGGAGTGGGCTCTTCTACCATTTGGTACTGGTTCCCTCTGAGGGCCCCCCTGGTGTGGGTTGCTTGCATATGCACAGTTGACTGTTAAATGTTCTGCACATGCAAAGAAACATGTGTGGAATGGCATACGACACTGGGGAACCGGTTCGGGGGTGTGGGTTGCTGCTAGTTCTGCAAAGCAGGCCAAATGACCACTACCGGTTTGGCCGAACTGGGCTGAACGGGGAACAACCTACCTCTGGACTGTGTGCAAAAACATCATTTGAAATGAAACTGCTGCTCAGTACTGTTTGAATATCACACTAGTTTGGACTGAAGATATGTGCCACTCTTACTATCCATAGAGCAGGTTTGTCAAACTTGCAGCCCACAAGCCAGATGCATCATGCTCTGGCCACGTCCACACCCAGTTTAGCGAAGTGAAAAAAGTTACGATATGTCACCTAACGCCGCTGTGATACGAGTTTGACACCCCTGCCGTAGAGGAAAAATGGTGAAAACTGAATGAATTAAGATGCCCAATGGAAATTATATCAAGTAACCTGGCAGATGTTATTTTTTTCTCATGGCCTGCTTTGTTCAGTATTGGTGAGAGAAATCAATGCATTCACAAAAGTACTGGTAATAGTGAGCCTCTTTGAAAGATTCCCCTCTCATCTCCTCTCAGTCTAACATTGACCAGCAAGTACTGTATGTTTTCCATTGAGCTATTCGTCTTTTCACAAAGCTTCTGGTGTTTCTAGACTCCCATTATTTACAGGCACTTGATTGTCCAAATATGTGGCAGAGAATCAAATGCCTTCTTGTAATCAATCCTGTTTTTCTATTAAAGTTACTTATTTAGCAATAGCAATACGAATATTTATATAGACTTATATGTTGCTTTACACTGCTTTGCTTTTAACTCTCTCTAAGTGGTTTACAGAGTCAACCTAGGGCCCCCAACAATAGGGGTCCTCATTTTACTGACCTTGGAAGTATGGAAAGCTGACTCAACTATTTTGATTTGTATAGCTGTCTGTATCACATAGGTGATTCTGGACATGACTCACATATGGATATTTCCCTTCTCTCTAGGAAAAGTAAAGACCTTAATATCTGAGAAATATCTGCATTTCAATCCAGAGCAAAATGGATCCCTTACCCATGAAATCCACATTCTTAGCATATCCCCCAATTAATTAATAAACTGCTTATCTCTCATCAGAATATACTTCTCCATTTATCTGAACCCAGAAGAAAGCAAATCTCTTACCCAAGGATTCCACATTCTTAGCATTTTCCAGCATGACCTCTCTGTACAGGGATTTTTGGTCAAAATCCAGCAGGGCCCATTCCTCCTCAGAGAAAAACACAGTTACATCTTGAAAGGACACAGGGATCTGTAGCACAAAAACACTTGTTAATGTACAATTCCGGAAAATATTAGGAAATTCCTTATTCTAATGGAAAATATTCTGCTCACTGGGAGCAACCCTTCTATTCTTCTTGATCCACTCCTGTGACAAGATAAGGGAGCAAAATGGATTCCAATACTTCCTTCAAGGTTGCTCATCAAACAAGTATTTGGATATCCCTATATGATAGTTTAAACTTTAATCAATGTCTTGTCCAGTAGGGCATACACAGTCTTATTGAACAACTAGAAGACGTTGTTGAGAGATGTCCTCAAGAAAATGTTTGAGATGCTATGGATGGTACCAGAACCTTGGGAAGATGCTCTGAAAATTTGTTTAGATGGAAGATATTAAATTGGCGCTGGAAAATGGACTCAGGCCAACTTGAATGTCATGTTTCTTGACTAAATAATGTTGCAATCTGAGAGATGGGACCCTCCTACCTGAATTGGAAGCACAGCCACTGTTTCTGCTTCACCATAAAGAGAAAATCTTTCCATTGGTATAATCACCATTGTTCCATTTTCTGATAAAAGTAGAGGAAGTATATGTCTTAAAAACAGCTGGAAAAAAACTCTGAACACAGGATTTGGATAATACAGTAATCGAAACTCATGAATATAAAGACTTCAGACACTAAATAATTCATGAGGACACCAATACATCAAAATAAACCATGTTTTACCTGATGTTATCTTATGAGATATGTCCTCCTGGGGGATCCCCCCAAAGATAATTTCTTGAGGGAAATGTGATGCATCTTCTGATGCTTTAGAACCAGGGGTGGCCACCTCCATGAAATGCCCATGAACCTGAAATAGGAGTGAAGAGAACATTACTGCCCCGGCCCCAGCTTGTTATCTAACCTTGGAAATAACCAGGATGGAGGGGGATGGAATCATTTATCTATCAAGGACACATTTTATTAAAATCAACCTGATTATATTTAAGAATAGAAACCTTCAGCTAAGGTCACTTCCTGGGATCTGGTCTCTACTCCATGCATCCCAACACAGCTCTCCACCTCAGCGGCCAGAGTGGAACGCTGTAGGATTACCAGAGGTGGTATTCAGCAGGTTCTGACCAGCTGATGGGGAGGAAATGGGGATTTTACACTAACCTTTCTCTGGAGTGGGGAGGGAATGGGGATTTTGCAGCATCCTTCCCTTGCCATGCCCAAAAAGCCACACCACGCCCACAAAATCGGTAATAATTTTTTTTGAATCCACCACTGAGGATTACCATCTGAGCTTTGATGCGGCCCTCTTGTTTCCGCCACTGATCGTAAAGATGATGGAGTTGGCTGTATATGCCTTGGAGTCCCTCCGCTTCCTGGCAACAAATCTCCCTGAAAGGGCAACACTGGGCAACACAATGTATGGCTGCTTCATCCAGAATGTTCTGCTTGGTTCTTGCTGCTGGCCCAAACAAGTCCAAAGACTCTTCCGAATCTACGACGCCGCTTTTATTCATGGGAGCAGAATGGTAAGGAGACCCTCCATCTGCCATCTTAGAGAATGACGTATTTCTCCCTTGAATGATTAGCTTCTATGGAAAGTACGTTCAGCTTCCAAGGTAAGATGAAACAAGCAGAATCCAGGAATCCAACACTGGGAAGAACTTTTTTTCATTATTCAAGTCATTTAAAATTTATATTCATCAGTCCAGACACTTGATAACTGGGTGGCCTGCAAAGAATAAAAGCAAGGTAGGACAAGACACAATGAATGGAAATTAATCAAAGGAGAGAACCAACCTAGAACTAAGGAGACATTTCCTGACAGAACAACTGATCAGTGGATCAACTTGACTCCAGAAGTTGTGAATGCTCCAAAATTAGAAGTTTTAAAGAAGAGACTGGACCACCATTTATATGAAATGGTATAGGGTTTATTCCCTGAGCAAGGGGTTGGATTAGAGGACCTCCAAGATCCCTTCCAACTCATCATTCTGTGATTCAAATACAGCAGATGACAACTACCAATGAAAATAGTTGCAAAGGGGTGGACAAAAATTCTTAAGGTCATTAATGCAACATAAAGAACCTCCACCAAAACAGATCTCACAAAGAGTGTGCAGGTTAAAAGAAATCATGGAAGTTTGTGGGTTTTAATCTTTTTTATGACTATCTACCCAAGCTGCTCCTTTGGCAAGACTCGGAAATCTGGGGGATAGTGACAGGGAATGCAGATCTCTTGGACTCCTGCTGAAAGCATTTTTCCTTGTCTCCAAGTGGTGGAAAGGAGGCACCTTTTCTAAGCCAGGAAAACCCAGATCCGACCTGCAGATGCACTCAGCACACAACAAACCCTGATTTTGCTGGGGTCCCCAGGAAGGAGCTTTTGCAGAATTCCATCTTTAACCCAGAATAGGCTCTTCTTGCAGAAGCGCAGATGGTAAAAATGACACAGGAAGTATAGGAGGTGGAAACTTGGGAAGGTTTTCCTGCAAGACCCCCCTCCTTTCCATCTCACCCATCTCACCTATAAGAGATGCTCAGGAGGGAGCTTGTGCAGAACTGAATCTTTAACCCAGAAGGGGCTTTGCTTGCAGAGATAAGCGTCCTACGGACCCCTTAAAGGAGTGGGGGGGGGGGAGAAAAACGAGTAGGTGAAATCTTGGGGGTTTCCAAGAAGGACGTCTCTCCAGATTCAGAGACTGAGATTACCCAAGCCTGGCTCGGCAGTTCCACCACAGCCCGTCAATTCCGCGGCTTCCCTGCGAGAAGCCTATGAAACAGGCGCTTTCCAAGTCCGCCAACTGCGGGATAGGTAGAGCCGGCGAAGGAAGGAAGAAGCCGCTTGCAAGATCGGTCCAGCGTTTTGGAGAGGACGCCGCTTCCTGGGAAAGCGGTCTTTCTCCGTGCGAACTTCCTGCCCCCCTTTGCAAGGATCGGGGGGGGGATGCTTCCCCGGAGCTTGCAAAAAGCAATTCGGCTGAATCCAAGGGTCGTTTGCAAAGGGCGCCCTCTAGCGGGTCCTGCGTGCCAAGCCTGCGAGGCGATGGACGGGAAGCGAGGTATTCAGAATAGAATAGAGCTGGAAGGGACCTTGGAAGAGCTTTTTTAGGTTAGATTAACAGTGTAGAAAGGAATAACAGTTGCAGCTGGCTTACTTCCATTCTTTTCCTACTGATCCCTAATGTGGGATTTATTTTTTCTCATCTGCCACATACAGAGTCAATAGCTTCACAGGGGTCTCCATTATAACCTAATCCTCGGTTAATTACAGTTCAATAATATGTATGTCAAATTAAGAAGTTATGCCCAAATGCACATCACGTTCAACGTTCTTCAAGTGAACTACATTGTTCACTGAATTGGCTGTTCTGTCTATTTAAAGAGATTCCTCCAAATTCCTTGCACTTTACTTTTCAGTATTTTAGTATCATATACAGGCTTGGCCATTATGGCATTTTCTCCCAATGGTTTTGGGGTGTTAAGTGGTTGACTGAAGTAAAAAGTCTCTTACCGGTAGAAATCCAATTACTGTCCTGTCAATAAATGTTACATCAGTCACATATCTGAAGGACTGTCAAAATCATGCTTCAAAAAGGAACAGGTCAAGAATAAAAATAGTGTAAATAAAATTTGCCATTGCCATTAAAATAGGGGAAGCAGACTGGTTCTTGTTTACATGCATCAACCATTGTCTCTTACACCCAAACATGTTCTTTCCAGCTTCCAAGCAGAACAACAAAAATATGAGAAATTGGTGAAGGGATAACTTTACCAGAAAAGGAAGAGGGGAGAATGTAGAAACTAATAGGACTGGAGGTGTCTGAAGAAGAAATAAGCAGATATTTATCCACTTGGATAGTAGAAGAAAAGAGAGAGAATTCTATTGTAGGCCTTAGAGAAACAATTAAATTTCAGATTATACAAGAATACAATAGCGGAGTTGGAAGGGACCTTGGAGGTCTTCTAGTCCAACCCCCTGCCTAGGCAGGATACCCTATACTGTTTCAGACAAATGGCTATCCAACATCTTCTTAAAGACTTCCAGTGTTGGGGCATTCACAATTTATGGAGGCAAGTTGTTCCACTGATTAATTGTTCTAACTGTCAGGAAATTTCTCCTCAGTTCTAAGTTGCTTCTCTCCTTGATTAGTTTCCACCCATTTCTCTCTCATTCTCATTATCTTTCATTCTCTCTCATTCTCAT